CTGTTTTCAGACAATTTTATTGGTCTGTCTGAATAAATCAAAAGGGTGACCATAACCAATTGTAAGTGAAAAATAATATCTAAAGGAAATGCTTTCTCTTACCTGCATAAAATCGGGTCGCCTGAGATGAACGATTAATTCATTTTCCATTATTTTTCTTTGGCATAGTCTGAAGATCACTGGATGGGGAGTCAAAGACACCGGGTTCCAATAGCAGCCCTTCCATTTACTACCTGTGTGGCTTTGGGCAAACCGCTTAACCTTTTAAGCCTCCATTTCCTTACCTGTGAAATGAAAGTGTGGAGAGAGTGGACTAAATGACCCCAAAGATCCATTCCAACTCCGAATCTATTATCTTATGATCTTTCTGTAGTTTCTAAAATACTTTCTAAGAGGTCAGAAGTAGCTCCTGGTCTGTTAACAGAAACAGTAAGCCAAGAAACCAAAGTGAATTGCTGGCTCCAACTTCTAGCAGATTTCAGTCAAAGACAGCTTGAGAAGGTGAAAATAGCCTTGGTGACTTCAAACTGGCTGTTCTGAAGTGTCTTTAGAGGGTTGAGATTTTCATGAGATTGAGCTTATTTTGCAAAAAAAGCTAGAACGTGCAAAAGATGACTTGGAGGCTTGTCAAAGCACAGCTGTATGTGCCGGGAAGACTTACGTCATCACTTGTGATACAGTCATGAATACAAATATTCCTGGTTTGAGGATAAGAGGAACTTTAATATACATCCAAGGGCAGAGTCCTGACTGCATAGGGGAATAATTTACTCTAAATGGCTGGCATCTTATTACTGTTGTTGATGGGTATGTGATGGGATAGAGTTAGAAAGAGGCAGGAGAAGTCAAAGTCAGGAGCCGTAAAAGATCTTGACAAGCTAAATAATGGAAAAGTTGGATAAGGTCATCTCAGATGTCATCTATTTCAAACCCCTTCATTTTATAGAGGAAGAAAACTGTTTTACCAAATCACAGAATTTGGGAGCTCATTAGAAGGAATTTCTGCAGCTGTTAAGTCAAACCCATATGCTAAAGTAGGAGTTCTTAACCTAAGGTCCATGAACTTTTTAAAAAATATTTTTATAATTGTATATAATTGGTTTCCTTTGCAATTCTACACATTTTACTGTATGTGTTTAAAAACATTATTCTAAAAGGGCTCCATAGGCTTCACCAGGATATCAAAGGGGTCCATGACACACACAAAAAAGATTAATAAACTACACCAAAGGAAAACCCACTAACTGAGGCCCAGAGAGGTTAAATGATGTGAGCATGTCTTGTGCAAGGTTTTGTCTTTCTGTTTAAGACTCATCTTCATGAGTTCAAATCCAGCCTCAAACACTTATTAGCTATCTGACTTTAGGCAAATCATTTAACTCTGTTTGCCTCAGTTTCCTCATCTGTAAAATGAGCTGGAGAAGGAAATGGCAAACCATTCCAGTATTTTTATCAAGAAAACCACAGATGGGGCCACAAAGAGTCAGATATGACTGAAAAAACTGAACAACTGCTTTGAAGAAGGGAAGTGATATAAACACAAAAGAGACTGATAAATAAGAATGTAGGCATTCTTAGAGATTTAGAATATATATTTATGTGGACATATTCTAGAGCCAATTTATACCAGTCATGAGAGCTGGTTGTTAAATTTTCAATGTAAGCATTTACACTTCAGAAATTGGCAAGCACTACAAATCAGGGCTCAATTTTATTGTTTTGTTGATTGTCTAGACTTAAACTGATGGAGAAAATATTAATAATGCAGATTAAATTTGTGTATCATTTGTACTCCCCCCCTTTTGATTCCCCAGCATCCAGCCCATTGCTGGTCACAGCTATTTATTTATTCAATAAGGGCCTATCACTGGTAGAGGGAGTTCACTAGACCAGGGAAATCATAGTTTTTATGTGCCACAATTGTGTTAGAATTGGGAATGCAATAAAAATAAATAAAAAATAAAAGTTTCTAGCCTCCAAGAATTTGTATTCTAGTGGAAGCAGGGTGAAAAATATATACAGTTAAGTGAATGCAAAGTATGTGCTTGTGATAGTCACTATCAGCTAGATGCTGAACCCCCTGCCCCACCTCTGCTGGGGGTATTTAAAGCCACATTCCACTCTACCCCATTCCCTTCTTGCTAGGGGACCATCTGTCCATTACTCCCCAAGGTACTCACAGCCTTGCCATTATCCCTGCTATTTTTCCTGCTGGAAACTAAATACTACCTAGCCTTTCTATCTGCAGTGAACTAAATATGAATATGAGCCCTTCTTTGTGTGTTGGCTCCCTCTAGTTAGATTGTGGGTTCCTTGAGAGCAGGGACCACTCTAATTTCTATTTGTATCCTCAGTGCTTTGCATATATTAAGTGTCTAATAAATGCTTTTCCATTCCATTCTATGTGTGAATCCTGCCAATCGTGTTAAGAATAAATAACATTCAAAAGAGGACATTCACCATTTGGGGCAAGTTGGCAACATGAACTGTCTGTGTGTCATTGTTTGTCTTTCAGAATATGCCTGGATAGAAACTGGGTGTGGAACAGTATGAAGCTGATTCAGACCTCTTTAGCCCTGACAGCTCTGACCAAGCCAAGCAGTACATTTCCACTCTGACCTGGTGTTAACAAATCTATCCCATTATTCTTGACGTGAGGACCACTGTAACATCAGCGGCCTCTGTAAGATAACCAGTGATACAGCACAAACATCACAGGGTCAGGACAGCCTCGGTCTTGGTCTGAATCTCTTCCCAATCACTCTTCTCTGCCCTCTACCCCTTCCACTTGCCATCATAAATCTACATTTTCCCAACAGGCTGGAAGCTATTTACTGAAGGTCATTCCTTTCCCAGAAATGTAGACAAAATACAACTTTTGTAAAAAAACAGAGTTATTTTATATAAGAAATGAATGTTTCCCCCCAAATTTCTTGCCTGATGCTAGGATATCTGTATGCCGCCAGACAAAGGCACACATGCTCTATAAATGACTAAACTGGGAAAAACTGGATTAGGAAGGACTAAAGAAAAGCTGGTGTTGGAAGAGATCATTTGATCATCACTTGATTTTCATTTGGTAAGAGAGCAGCTATGGAATCTATCCTGCTATGTCTTTTTGGGTTTGTTTGAGGTTTTTTGTTTTGTTTTTTACTTTTCTATCTATGTGGAAGATACAACACTGGGTTGGGCATCATACCCTAGGTTCGTAGAATCATAGATCTATAGCTAGAAGGGACCTCAGAAGCTGTCTAGTCTAATCTCTTCATTTTTACACATGAGGAAACTGAGGCCTGGACACATGAAGAAAATTGCCAAAGTTCATGCTAGTAATTAAGTATCATCAATAGGATTGGAATCCAGGTCCTTTAACTCCACAGCCAGTGATCTTTCCACTGTACTATGGTACAATTCATTTGCCCTTTCACTATGTTTTTTTCCTTCTCAAAATTCACCTTTGTTTCTTAGCAAAGAATAATCACCAAGAATATTGACTGTGGTAGGCAGAGACTACATTCTTTTTTTTTTCCATGTCCTTTGGTTGGCTTCCTCAGTTTATGTCTTCTTCAGTTACAGAACCCTAGAGAAGTTGGAGAAGTAGACTAACACAGGAACATGCAATTGACCTCCCTCATTGCTCTAAACTGAAGAATCCTTGGTTTCCAGCTCTAACCAGTTGTCTTCCCATTCCTCCCTCCTTCTATGCCTCTCTCATCTTTCTCTCTGAAAGAAGGCCAGAATCTGTCAAATTTAGCAAACTCTTTAGTAATTAATTTATTAATTATATTACTCTTAAGTGTAGCCTAAATAGAAAGAATTTGAACACATTTTACAGTTTTTAACACATATTAATTTCAGGATATTATCCCCATGAGTGGAATAGGAAGCTGAGGGTAGTTTTCCCATTTGATGAATGAAGAACTTGGAATATGGAAAAATTGAGTGACTAGTCCCTGTGTTATTGAACAAATGATTATGATCCCTGAAATACATTATATGTGCCTAAAAAGAAGGGTCCAAGTGTACTCAACTTTTGTCTGGTGACCAGTAGAAGATAAAGGTGTATATGCACACTTAGTTCATTGCTTAAAGCTTTCATGGATACAGAGAAGGGAACTGCATCCATCTGCCCCTCGACTAGGAGGCAGACTTACACCTGTATGGAAGAGAGAACAAGTTCTGCCTGCTGTCAGTCTCTAAAAGTAGATATAACCAAATGATGATAACTCCCATTTACAGTTTTACTTCAATGGTTTCATCAATGTGGGTACTCTTTCCATCAACGAAGATAGCAACCACTCTGTAACTTAGTAATAAGTGGTCCATGAGGGTTACTGTGGTTGAAAAATTCACAACCCTCTGGCCTTGGTATTGATGAACCTCTCCAACCGGATGTAGATTGGGTCCTTGGGTGGTAGATGTCACTAAGCATATATCTGAAACCTTTCTAGCTTAGATAGGTCTACTAGAGCATGGGTACCACTGGAATGGCCTTTGAGAAGGTCCACACCACATGGAGGCATGTCCACATGTGTTGCCTTACTTTTGGGAAAGTACTTCCTTCTTCACAAGCCTGTGAGGCAGACAGGGCAGGTATAATCATTCTCATTTTGTAGTTGAGGAAACTCACAATCAGAAAGCATGCCTGACTTGTCCACATGTGAGAAGTGTCGGAACTGGGATTTGAATCTTGCTTTTCTGAGTCCAAGTCCAGGATTCTTTCCACTCTAACAGTGCTGCTTCTGTCGTTTGCTAGTAGGTACCATGCTGATGATTGGAATGACAATTAAAAAGTGATCATTGACTTTGTATGATAAGAAACAGAAAATGAGCAAACACAGAGGGTGCTATATTTATCAATGTGTTGGTGAGGAGAGGAGGGAAGGAGGCGTGACATTTAAAAAGCTTGAGAGACATAGTTTGTGGATAACTTAATCATTTTATTAATAATGCTAGCATTTTAATAAAAGAGGTTAATGGTACTCTTGAATGCCAAAGATGGTGGTGGGTGCACAATTTATGTGCCTTTGGAAGAGCAGGTGTTCCGGAGGGCGTCAGTCAACTCTGGTTAAGATTGAGAGAGTGAATATTATGAGAAATGGGCTACATTACAATGAGTGTCTTGAGGTGCATTACACTGAGCATCCAAATCTTGGTCAAAGAGACATCAATTTCCATACCACCCATCTGACAAAAGGGAGAATCCCCATTTTCCCAGACCTGTCTGAGTAAACACAATGAACAGAAACCCACCCTTTAGCCTAAACTTAGAATTGCTTTTACTGTCTTTGATTCGATCTTTAGCCAGTCTTTGAGAAAGATTTCCCACACTGGTGGATTTCTGGATGAGGAAGCAGAAAAGGAGAAAACCTGGGTCCTGATTCAATAATAACTTATTAATACAAGAAAGAAATAATCATTTCTCTCGGAGGTCTATGATTCCCTTCTAGTTATAAAGCTGTGAGAGGCCACTCTAAAGATAATCCCCCATGAGTCTGAAAAGCTCTGTCTCCCATGAAGTTGAAGCGGGCAGGAAGGAGAGAGATGGACTAAACTGGTCTTACTTGATTTGGGGAAACCTACATGAATGAAACTACTAACAACAACAACAAAAAGCTGAAATTCCCCAGCCAGTGAACATTATACCATGAAGTCTTCTCAGTGGCTGTGTCTTTGTGGAAACAGAAGAGAAAGATGACTTTCCCTCTAGGTAGTATAGGTCCCTGCCTATGTACTCTGATTTGATGGTTGCTGAGCAGACCTCTCTGCCCCCATAATATCTTTCCAACCAAGCTATGAAGGCACTTAAAATTCATCAACAGAAGTTCATAACTTTGATTGCTTTTGGTTTATCACATAGGAAACTTCTGTTCTGGGAACTCTCTACCAACACAGATTAGCTCCATAATCTATAATCCTTGCAAGGAGCCTTAGAGTCTGTGTGACTTGCCCATAACAGACAAACTAGTTAGAATCAGAGTCAAGACTTGAACCTAGGTTTTTCTGACTCCCAGGGTCAGTTCTCTACTATTTCATATACAGATCAAACTGTCATAAATGTGCTGCCCAACCTTCAGCAGCCTAACCAGTATATCTCACTTAGCTGCATCTCTTCGGGTTCTCAGAAAAGTAACACATTATCAGCTGGCATGTTAGTTAGGACTGTCAACAATCCATCTGTGATGGCAAGCTGAGAAGGCAAGGTTCTGTTGTAATGGAAAAAAGAAAGGGTGCATTCAGTATTTCCAGAATGCAAAGAAGAGCTGAATGAGAAAATGAAAGGATGCAAGAACAAAACCTTTTCTACTTCATGCTTTTGCCTGTAACGTATTGACCCCAATTTGCAACTGTACGTCTTACATAAGTGAAGGAATGAATAGAACAATGGCCTTGAAATTAGGAAGAGCTATCCTGACACATTACTGTGCAACAATGGGCAAGTCACTAAACTCCTCTAAGACTCGGTTTCCTCATCTGTAAAATGGGCATAGAGTAATAATACTGATAATAGTACTTACTATGCTGAATGTAGTTATGATGCTCAAAAATGAGATAAATCATTCTGCTATCTTTGAAGCATTATACAAATGTCAGTTGTTACTGTGTGTACAATTTTCTACATTGAAATATATGATTCTTTTTTTTTTTTTAGGCAATTGGAGTTCAGTGACTTGCCCAGGGTCACACAGCTAGTAAGTGTCAAGTATTTGGTCTGAAGCCGGATTTGAACTCAGGTTCTCTTGACTTCAGGGCTGGTACTCTATCCACTGCACCACCTAGCTGCCCCCAAAATATATGATTTTTGAGAGGTGAAACTGCATTCATACCCTCACTGGGGGAGTGGGCATGGTATGTAGTTTTCAAATTTTGCCTAAAGCTCACAAATGCCTTGTCTTGATTTTGGTCAACTTTAAGGTCTGGTCAGCTCAACTCATCAGTAAAACTATTGTGGCGTGCTCCTAGAAGAAAGAGGCCTTTGTCCATCATTCTTGGCCAAGACAAAACCTTAAACCTTGGTGTATATACAAAGAGATTCTGCGTTCCTTGAGGGGCTTTTTTTGGCTTGTTTTGTTTTGTTTTACTAAATAGTTCTCTTCCTGACTAAATCATTCCCTTCCTGACTTCCTCTCTCTTGTTTCTGTTCAGACAAACAGACCTTGAGATTCTTGCTTCTGGAATGTGTCACTGGAAACAGCTTAGTCAGAAAAACTCACTTTCAATGGATATATCCACTTATAGATGTATCCATTTATAGAGAAGAAAGCTTTATGATTAGGAAACAGAAGAGATTTGGTGTTTTCCTTTGCAACAACAGAGTTTTCAGCACAGAGATTCTTCTCTAAACTTAATTTTGACTCTAGATGCTTTGCTAAAACATCTTACACTGAAGGGATCTGGTGGTCCCTGACTATTACAACAGCCTAAGAATGATGGAGGTCCTGCAGCCCAAACCTCATCTGAGGTGAGAGTGACACAGGGACAGCTGGTGGCATAGTGGATAGAGCACTAAACCTGTAGTCAGAAAGACCTGGGTTCAAATCTTACCTTAGACACTTTGTGACCCAGAGTGCCTAACATAATAATGATAATTAACATTTACATAGTGCCAATTATTTGCCAGGCACTGTGGTAAGCACTTTGCAATTATTATCTCATTTTATCCTCACAACAACCCTGGGGTATAGATGTTATTTATTATCCTCATTTCATAGTTGCAGAAACTGAAGCAGACAGAGGTTAAGTGACTCACCCAAGGTCACGTGTTGTAAAGAACCTGAGGCCAGATTTGAACTCAAGTCTTCCTGACTCAAGGTCCAGCGCTGTTTCCACTGTATACCACTTAGCTGCCTCCTGCTCTCTGAGTCTCAGTTTCTCCATCTGTAAAATGAGGTTAATAAAAGCACCTACCTCAGTGTTGTTATGAGTCTCAAATGAAATAAGATGTCAAAAGTGTTTTGCAAACGTTAAAGCACTAAATAAGTGTTAGCTTTTTTTCTACCAGTTCTCAAAAAGGTAATTTGTAAAGTCTGTTCTTAAAAATCTCTAAGACATTGGGAATTCACTTCCCCACCTCCAAGACAACCTTTGTGCCTTCCAATTTAAGCATATTAAGAATATGTTTCTTTGTAACGAGCTGAAAATCACCTCTTTTCATTTCTACCCATTGGCTCCTCTGAGATAGGTGAGCGGAAGACATAATTTTACCAAATAAGCCGCCAGAAATCATGGAGGCAAAGAGAAACTGATCCACAGACACACACCAATCGTTGTCAGAGTCACTATAACAATTATTTCTGACTGTGTGCAAACAAAACGGCAAGAAGTCATTCAACCAACCAATGGATTATTGGTTTCTGTTTTTGTTTTTCTTTAGGCAATTGGGGTTAAGTGACTTGCCCAGGGTCACACAGCTAGTAAGTGTCAAGTGTTTGGTCTGAGGCTGGATTTGAAGTCAGGTCCTCCTGACTTCAGGGCCAGTGCTCTATCCACTGTGCCACCTAGCTGCCTCTGAACCAATGGATTATTGAATGTACAATCAATCAGTCAACATTTATTAAATGCCCTGGTAGGTTCTATAAATACTAAGAAAGGAAAGGGAACGAGCGTTTATTAAGTTTCTACTGTGTGCCAGGAGCTTAACAAATGTGATCTCATTTGAGGCTGACAACAACCCTTTGTGGTAGGTGTTATCAAGTCCTGAAATAAATAAAAACCATGAGTTGAGGAATAAAGTGTCTTTAATTGAGATAAGAGGATACCCAATTTGCCACCCTTGGGGATATGCAGTGGATTTTCCTAAACAAAGAGACCCATGAAAAAGTTTTTATAGTTTTAGGAGGAGAGGTGGAGGAGACATTATGAGATAGCAAGGCCTAGTCATGAGACCCCAGTGGCCCTTGACAGTCCAGGCAAGGAAGGCCACTTCATTTTGGCTGTGTTGCCCTTTATGCCATGAATCCCAGTGGAAGGAGGTAAGGACACTAGAAACTGAGATTCAGCTTGAGCTGAGCTCCCTCACAAGGGGAAGTACCTGGATGGGGAGGAGGGGACCTAGAATTGGTTTAGCTCAACTTAATCAAGAGTATCTTAAGAGTAGGAATGTAAGGACATTACTGAAATTCTGACATTACAAGGATCATTTAAGGGAGTGGCAGTCCATATTATGTTTGGTATTAACAATTTATGTCTTTATATTAACAATTTTTTGTCAGTGCTGTTACTATTTCCATTATATAGTGGAGGGAACTGAGTCAGAGAGAAGGTAAGACACTTGTCTGAGGTCACACAGCTATAAGCATCTGAGGCCATATTCAGATTCAAGTCTTCCTGATTTCAGGCCCAACACTGGATCTACTGTGTTCATCAGCCTAAGAAAGACAAAATGCAAGTCCCTACTTTAAGGAGCTTACATTCAAATATTTATTAAATACTTGTTACTGTTATAGGTATCATAATGTTATATAGCCTAGTGCCAAATAGCCAATTGGACTAAATTTTCTGATGAATTGACTGATTTTTTTTAGGTCAATTGAATTAATTGTTTTGGAACCATAGAAACAGACCCCTTTGGCTTTCTTATTTTCAGCCCTCTCCCCAATTCTACCTCCTAAATGTCCCCCAAGTGTTCCCTCTCCCTAGGGGTTGATATTTAGAGAGGAAAAGAAGGGAGAAAGGTAGCACATTACTAAGTTTTTCGTTTGGATCCAACTTTCTCTTCCTTTTTCCTCCCCATTTTACAATGAGGGTATTGCTAAGATTAATAACTTGTTTTTAAAACCTGTGAAATCCCTCTGAGGAAGTAGGCTATATATAAATGTAGCAAGACTAGCCCAAGAATCCCACCTTCCTTACTCAGTGCCCTCTCCATTAAACCCTGCTAAAAATAAGATACAACAAAAGGCATTTGGGCATTTTTCACCTTTTGAACGGTTTATGGTCAGTGTAGAGCAGATTGTAAAAACAGTCATATTTTGTAACTTTGTAAATGTATATTTCATGAGAAGATAAACATTAGCTTTTAATGATCGCTGCTTTTGCAAAAGATGTGGACAGAAGGAAGTGAA